GAGGCTCCCCCTCTTCCTGCACCCACTCTGTCCCTGCCCCCTGCCTCCCCACCACTCCCTCCTCTCCAATCCCCCTTCCCCATGTGCCTCCTCCCAGGCACTTGCTGACCCAGGACCAGCCCTAGGTGCCCAGTGAACAGCTGATAATGTGGCCAGTCCTGGGAGTCTGCTGAATGGGGAATTGGTGACCAGTGCCGGGGCTGGAACCACTTTGAATTATAAGTGCTGCGCATCTCTGCCTCCGTCTCCCCTCCCGCCCCCATTTTTCCCCTTGTGAGTGAGTGAGCTCCACAGCATCCACGGAGGCCATGCCTGTACTTACCCGCACCACACTGGCAGGAGATGACTCACTCTCCCAGAAGTGCCAGAGTGCTCCAGGAACGTGCAAGTTGTGGTGGGCTGGCAGAAGTGTGTGTCCTTCTCTCACAGCACACTTCAGTCTCTTTTCCCCCTTAGTCATGATCGTCTCTTCCTTAGCCATTATTGTCTCTTATTTTTTAACATTAGGGTGTTTTTTATTTCAACTCCACGTGGCTCCCCCTCACTCAGCAGCAACATGTTCCAAGATTTGGAAGGGACTTCCACTCGGAGCTCCATAGTACCGCTCTAGGACGGCTGCTGCATGAATTGCTTCTTCCTCAGTTCCCTTGGGTCATGACTTGGGTGCAATCTCAAGGGAATTCTGTGCCCCCAAGCCTGGCGATACTCTGCTGGCCAATAGAAGTCAAGGGAAAGCTCTCCTTGGATAAACAAGCACCAAGGGAAACTTTTCTATCCTCTGGCTGTTGGTACTGCCTCCATTCTGGAACTGGTAATCAGTAGGAATGTTAAATTTAGTTTAATCAACTAGTTGATGGATTTTCCATCGACTAGTCGATTAGTTGATAAATGGGGGAGCCGCTGTAGGGTTAGCTCCTGGCCCTGGGAGTAACCCTGCTGTGGCTCTGCCTTTTAAATTATTAAGAACCGGCAGGCTCTTAATACATTTAACAGGCTGAAGCACAGTGTGGGGGATCCTACGCAAGCCAGGACAGCTGATTCCCAGCTCGCGCCTGGTCCCCACTATTGTCCTTACCCCTTGCCCTCCATGGAGATGGTGCTGAGGGGGAACCAGCTTTTAAGCCAGCTCCCACCAGCTCCTGCAACTAGTCAAGAAACTAGTCAACTATCCAATAAGCTTTTGCATATTGGATAGTTGACTAGTCACTTACATCCCTAGCAATCAGCTTCCAAGCACAGCTGTTTCTTCACTCTTACTGTGTTACAGGGGGGCATATGGATAAATAAAAGGAGCTAGCCAGGTGAATGAGCTATCAGGCAGGATCAAGGCCTAGACTACATTGTGCAATGATCCTTCCTTTCACATGCCCTATCTCTCTTCCTGCATTCCTGGCCTTATCTTTCTATGTTAGTGACAAATGGAAACATTATAAGTCAAATACTACCTTGTAGGTTCTGGATTTAAGGAGGGATCCATCTAAAATGTATTAGATGGTGGATCTTAACACGTACTCTCTTAGAAATGGGCACTTTCCACTACACTCCAATAACCTGAATGATTGTTTTACTTCCTTGCACCTTTTCTATTTCTGCTGTATTTTTTTTGAGATACAGCAGTTCCAGATTGAAGTCAATATTCAAAGTTAGGACATTTTAACCCTTTGATACAGAGTTATAATATTTTCTATTTAGTTTAAAATTGTAGTATTCCAATATTAACCTGAGAGCATAACTACACAGCAGTCAGGAAAATTTAAGTGGTGCTTATACAATATTCATCATGTCATCACCCAGCCCTTATATAATATGCTTTATGCATTTATTTTGTGGTTATGACTTCTCTATTGTGTGTGTGTGTTTATAATCATTTAGTCTATGGCTAATGTCTGAGTTCTGAGGGGAACATAACTTTGCATTTTCTGACTTGTGTGTTTATATTCACAGCCATAAGACTGCAATTAAAGGGGGGTTTTGCTATGATTTTTTTTGCATTTAAAAAAGAAAGGAAGAAGGGAAAACTGGTAAAAATTTCATCCTTGGAGAATTTGAGTGGCGTGTAGAACAGAATTTGAAGTAAAAATAATCCCAAGAATCATTGCTAGGCACATTCTCTGTTTCTTCTTGGTGTAATATGCTTGTGTTCAGAGTTCATTCTATTTGTTTGTTTGATTGATTGATCGATTTTTAGATTACATCGCTTTGTTCAGCACAAAATGCCATGGCTGTGATTTTCCTGTTGAAGCAGGAGATAAATTCATTGAAGCCCTTGGACACACTTGGCATGACACCTGCTTTATTTGTGCTGTAAGTATCTGCATTCAAACCTATATTATTATTCTAGAATCTTATTAGAATTTATGATATCACACTGAGGGAATTCAGTTTAGTAAGATGGTGGGCAGTAGTTGATTGGTTTTAATTGCACGTGAGGGTTGTTTTCTTTTTTTTTCCCCTCAGTTTTCACCAGAATAGCTAAATTTGATTTAGGTTGATAATGGTAAGAAACACTAAGATAAAATTCATGCTTTTTGAGCAGATTGGTATTATTCTTAACTACATTTGCTCATAAATCAGAATTTAAAATAGATCTCCAGCAATGATGTTATCAATAAATTGAATGGTGTGAAATATACTGTATTCTCGGGGAACAAATATTTATACAGTTGTGCAATTTGTATTTTTATACAGAAAGGAGTCAATTCAGAAAAGTGAATAGTAATTAATACAGATGTTAGTCATCATTCAGTCTGCTTTTGTGCATGTGTATAGGTAATATGCACGCGCGCACACAAGTAAAAATCTATATAATAGTAATCACTTATCACTAAGGGTGCCATTTATGGAGGACAAGGGGGGCAGTAGCCCACCCCCAAGTTGGAACCCCTGGATTTCATAATTGAGGTCTGCTTAAAGCCCATGCCCTGACTCCAGAGGCAGGGCTTAAATGCCACAGAGTTTGAGCTGCTTGCAGCTTTGTCTTTGGGGCAGGGAGTTTGTTATAAAAAGAGGGAGGTACGGTGATTAAAAACAACAAAAGACTGGTCATTCAAGTAACTGAAGGTTTGTTAGATCAACATGAAACCATTGCCAGGTACTCCACTTAAAATATAGGGGGAGAGAGTAGGAATGAGTGTTGTGCTACTGGGATTTCCATTTGGACCACCACTGTTAAAGTTGTATTAGTTTCTAAGGGAATGTCTAGACTACAGAGAAGATTGATGCTGCCACTCTCGATCTTCCAGGCTTCAAATTAACCAGTCTAGTTAAGACACCTAATTCAAACAGAGAGGGGCACTGTGGTCAATGATGGTTGTCCTGCTTCCACGAGGAGTAAGGGAATTCGAAGGGAGAGTATTCCCCCTTCAACTTCTTGCAGTGTGGACAGTGCTAAAAGTCAAGTTAAGGTACTTTGACTTCATCTATGCAATTAACGTAGTTGAAGTTGTGTATCTTAATTCAACCTTGTCCCATTGTGTTGACATACCCTAAGGTGCTACAGGACTACTCATTGTTTTTTTAAAGTTACAGACTAACCCCTCTGAGACGTTTAAACTTATAAATGTTCTTGAAAAAGAGGTAAACAGGGACTAATCCAAAGCTGACTGCAAAGAGTTGCAAAGGGGGTCTCACAAAACCGGGTGATCAGGCCACACAAAAGCATATGGAATTCAGTGTTGATAAGTGCAAAGTAATCACATGGAAAAATGTAATCCTAACTCTAGATACAAAATACCTATTCCCACTCAAGAAAGAGATCTTGGAATCCTTGTGGCTAGTTCCCTGAAAACATCTGTTCAATGTGCAGTGGCAGTCTAAAAACTAAAAAGCTAACAGAATAATGGGAATCATTAGGAAAGGAATATAGATAATAAGACCAAATGCCATATTGCCTCTATATAAAGTCACTGTATGCCCACATACTGTGAAAGACTGGTCATTCAAGTAACTGAAGGTTTGTTAGATCAACATGAAACCATTGCCAGGTACTCCACTTAAAATATAGGGGGAGAGAGTAGGAATGAGTGTTGTGCTACTGGGATTTCCATTTGGACCACCACTGTTAAAGTTGTATTAGTTTCTAAGGGAATGTCTAGACTACAGAGAAGATTGATGCTGCCACTCTCGATCTTCCAGGCTTCAAATTAACCAGTCTAGTTAAGACACCTAATTCAAACAGAGAGGGGCACTGTGGTCAATGATGGTTGTCCTGCTTCCACGAGGAGTAAGGGAATTCGAAGGGAGAGTATTCCCCCTTCAACTTCTTGCAGTGTGGACAGTGCTAAAAGTCAAGTTAAGGTACTTTGACTTCATCTATGCAATTAACGTAGTTGAAGTTGTGTATCTTAATTCAACCTTGTCCCATTGTGTTGACATACCCTAAGGTGCTACAGGACTACTCATTGTTTTTTTAAAGTTACAGACTAACCCCTCTGAGACGTTTAAACTTATAAATGTTCTTGAAAAAGAGGTAAACAGGGACTAATCCAAAGCTGACTGCAAAGAGTTGCAAAGGGGGTCTCACAAAACCGGGTGATCAGGCCACACAAAATAGTTAAGACACCTAATTCAAACAGAGAGGGGCACTGTGGTCAATGATAGTTGTCCTGCTTCCACGAGGAGTAAGGGAATTCGAAGGGAGAGTATTCCCCCTTCAACTTCTTGCAGTGTGGACAGTGCTAAAAGTCAAGTTAAGGTACTTTGACTTCATCTATGCAATTAACGTAGTTGAAGTTGTGTATCTTAATTCAACCTTGTCCCATTGTGTTGACATACCCTAAGGTGCTACAGGACTACTCATTGTTTTTTTAAAGTTACAGACTAACTTGAAAAGGTACAGAAGGGGCAACAGAAATTATTAGTAGTAAGGAACAGCTTCCATAGAGGGAGAAATTAACAAGACTGAGACTTTTCAGCTTGGAAAAGAACTGACTAAAGGGTGGAGGGGATATGTTAGATGTCTAGAAAATCATGAACGGTGTGGAAAAATAGAATAATGAAATGCTATTTATTCCTTCACTGACATAACACAAGAATTAAATTAAATGTATAAATTTAAAAACAAATTATTTCTTCACAGTCAACCTGTGCAACTCTCTGCCAGGAGATGGTGGAAAGACCCAAACTATAACCAGGTTCCAGTAAGAACAAAATAAATTCAAGGATAAGTCCATCGGTGGCTACTTAATTCAACCTTGTCCCATTGTGTTGACATACCCTAAGGTGCTACAGGACTACTCATTGTTTTTTTAAAGTTACAGACTAACTTGAAAAGGTACAGAAGGGGCAACAGAAATTATTAGTAGTAAGGAACAGCTTCCATAGAGGGAGAAACCGGGTGATCAGGCCACACAAAAGCATATGGAATTCAGTGTTGATAAGTGCAAAGTAATCACATGGAAAAATGTAATCCTAACTCTAGATACAAAATACCTATTCCCACTCAAGAAAGAGATCTTGGAATCCTTGTGGCTAGTTCCCTGAAAACATCTGTTCAATGTGCAGTGGCAGTCTAAAAACTAAAAAGCTAACAGAATAATGGGAATCATTAGGAAAGGAATATAGATAATAAGACCAAATGCCATATTGCCTCTATATAAAGTCACTGTATGCCCACATACTGTGTGCAGATCTGGTCACCACATCTAAAAAAGATATATTGGATTTGGAAAAGGTACAGAAGGGGCAACAGAAATTATTTGTAGTAAGGAACAGCTTCCATAGAGGGAGAAATTAACAAGACTGAGACTTTTCAGCTTGGAAAAGAAATGACTAAAGGGTGGAGGGGATATGTTAGATGTCTAGAAAATCATGAACGGTGTGGAAAAATAGAATAATGAAATGCAATTTATTCCTTCACTAACGTAACACAAGAAGCTGATCCAATTAAATTTATAGGCAGCAGATTTAAACCAAACAAAATTAATTATTTTTTCACAATCAACTTGTAGAACTCTTTGCCAGGAGATGGTGGAAAAGCCCAAATTATAACAGGGTTCCAGTAAGAACAAAATTAGTTAAAGGAGGATAGGTCCATCAATGGTAGTAGCCAGAATAGGCGGGGGTGGTGTCGCTAGCTTCTGTTTGCCAGAAGCTGGGAATGGGCGACAGGAGATTGGCCATTGTCAGCAGACAGGATACTGGGCTAGAAGGACCTTTGGTCTGACTCAATCTGGCCATTCTGATGTTCTTGTATAGAGCTGAAATGAATCTTCCCCCTGCTGTAACCCACTAGAGCCCACTCCCCTTCCAGAGCTGAGATAGCGCCCAGCAGTCTTAACTGGACTTTCTCTCCAGAATTAGTAACAAACTAAGAATATACATTCAAATTTTAAGGCTAACCAGTGTCCCTTAAGTGACTTGCCACAAGATGTCAGAATATGTTAGCGTTAGAGTTGAGTGGGTCTAATATTTAATTAATTTTCTTCCTTTTTATATAGGAATTAGATACAGTGCTCTGTCAGCTAACTGCTAAGTTGTCTGCCAAAAAAGTACAGTTTTCCAATGCCTTAGTAGCTCTGGAATAGAGATGAAGTGTGGGGAGGGGAGGCACATGGGGTTGGTCCCCCCACTTGATGCTTGGCTTTTACTGAGCACGCTCAATAATACTGTTGAAGCCTCTGTCCTCAGTCCTCCCCATACTTTCATTCTCATCCCCTCTCATAGCATGCACAAGTTGGGCACCACTCCCCATCTTAAATGATGCCCCTGCTTATCACCTGCCATGATTGTCCCATTTGTACTCATCCAGTTACCCTCACCCCCCTAGAACTATTAGCAATTTTCCAAGTCTCTCATCTGCTACAAATTATAAACTGTTAGGCTGTTTCAGCAAAAACAACAAGGAGTCTGGTGGCACCTTAAAAACTGACAATTATATTGTGGTATAAGCTTTCATAGTGACATCCTCCAGTTATTCACTGATTCCTTTGGGGCTAGATGCCTCTCATGAACTTTAGGAAGTGTAGAATTGATTATTTGTGTTGAATGTTAAATTAACTTAATGGCTGCTGTTTTCTCCATGAGATATTTTCTTCAATTATATAATACACTCCTTTTCTGAAACTGGGAATGTCTGAAGTTGATACATGCATTTGGATTAGTGGACAAACTGATGCTTGCACAATACAATCATCATTTTCTCTTGGTTCAACATCAGTTTTGTCATAAAAACGTATTTAATCACTTATAAAAGATGCCTTCTCTGAATATTTCCAGTTCTGGTGCATTTGCACTTTTAAGTAATTTCTCACTCATTCATTTTAGTTGGCAGGACCTAAAGTGTTTGAGGAGGTGATTCTTTGTTCTATTAATGTAATTTTCACAACTGTCCCACACCAGTTTATCCTGATCGTGTTACTGGAATCTATAGCTAAGCAGACTGAGGCTATGTCTAGACTGCAGGCTTCTTTCGGAAGAAGCTTTTCCGGAAGAGATCTTCCAAAAAAACTTCTTCCGAAAGAGAGCGTCCACACTGCCAAAGCGCATTGAAAAAGTGATCTGCTTTTTCGAAAGATAGCGACAACACTGAATGAATGCTATCTTGCAGTTAAGCTGTGATTACTATGGACGGAGTGGCCAGAGCACCTGTGCTTTTTCCTCTCTTTTGAAAGAACTCCCTCTTTCCCGTCCACACAGACCTTTTTCCAAAAGAGCTCTTTCAGAAAAAGGCTTCCCCCTCATAGAAAGAGGTTTACCAATGTCAGAAAACCCTCTCTGTTCTTTCAACTTTTTTTAAAAAGAACGCGATTGCAGTGTGAACATAAGTGACTTTTTTTTTTTAAAAAGTCCATTTTTCAAAAAGACCTCTGACAAACGCGATTGCAGTGTGAACATAAGTGACTTTTTTTTTAAAAAAGTCCGTTTTTTCAAAAAGACCTCTGACGTGTAGACCTACCCTACCATGGGTTTTTCTATCCCTGCATTTCTAACATGCTCATCCCAAACATTAATGTGCATTGCTTTCTGTCCATCTCAGTAGCATATTGCTGCAGTTAGCGCTCTGTGGTCTTATTGTTTCAGAGTATACATAGGGTCAAAGGTGAGAAGTCAGTGAGATCACCTACTCACAACTCATTCTTACGACTAGATTCTGATACCATCGTTCAGTGATTACTATCTAACTCCTGAAGTGGTCCTAGTGAAATCTATCAGAGTTTCATGGAGTGTATAGTGCTACTCACTGTGAGTCAGCATATCAGAATCTAGTCCTTAAAGACAAAGGAGTAATCAAGTGATTAGTAAAAGCTACATGTCTCTTTGTGATTCCTGATTGTGTTTAGGGCTGGCCTTACCATGAGGCAAAATGAGGCGGCCACCTCAGGTGCCAGACTGTGGGGGGGCTCCACTAGGACCCAGAGAATTGAAACCTTTCAAAGTTTTGGCCCAAGTGAGGAGGAATGGAGGCATCATTTGAGCTCCCCACCTCAGGTGCCAAAATGTTGTGGGCCAGCCTTGATTGTGTTTACTCTTTTCTTTTAGGTGTGCCACGTGAATTTAGAAGGTCAGCCATTTTACTCCAAGAAGGATAAGCCACTGTGCAAGAAACATGCTCATGCCATCAATGTGTAAAAGAAAATCTGGAAGCCAGTGGCACTTGCTAGCTAACATGTCTCAGTGGGGGAAGCTATTGAACACTTCTTAAGTATCATTTTAATCACTTGGATATTTCCAGAACATACATTTGCATGGTTCATACAGAAAGTTGAATGAAAACTCAACAGCAAATTAATCAAATATTACTGAGTCAATATTACTGCAAAAGTTAGAACGAAAATTAAAGAGATTGAAATAAATTTTTTAAATGTTTTTTGCAAAAAATAAGTAATCAGAATACTCAGATCAATCTTAGAGCTGAGAGCATACACTAATATTTAAAAGCAATTGAAGACTCATTCTTGGTATTTGTTACAAGAAAATATTAAGTGCCAAAATATTAATTGTAAAATAATTTATAGACTCATAGCTAATAATTTTGAAATTAAGATTAGTGGGTTAGGATTTCTTCACTAAAAAGGAAATGTGATTCTATTATGTATGTCATTGTGCTGCCTCAAAGCACCAATTTCTTGACTTTTGCACTTCCTATAAGCCAAGGGTTCGCTACCTTTTTCTTTCTGAGTCTCCCGCCTCCCCAACATGCTACAAAAATGGCACAGTTCACGTGTACGAGAACTGTTTTTCTGCATATGAAAGTCAAAGCTGGCATTAGGGGTAGCAAGCTGGGCATTTGCTTGGGGTCCCGTTTCATAAGGAGCCCCACGAATCTAAGCTGCACAGGCTTCAGCATCAGCCCTGAGTGGTGGGACTTGGGGCAGTGAGGCTTTGGCTTTCTGCCCTGGGCCCTGCTTGGTGGACCTTCTGAAACCTGCTCATTCCCCCCTCCCCCTCCCCGAGGCCCCCACACCCCTGGCTGAGAACTGCTGCCATATGTTTTCCCAAACAATATGTATGTTTGTCTTGAATCCAAATAGAACTACAATGCTGAGGAGGCAATGTATGACTCAAACTCTCCAACCAGGACTGAGACAGAAAGTTTTCATGTAAATCTTCAGTCAGTGCACATGCATTATTTCATTTTGCAATCAGAGTGGAAAAGGAAAACGGACTTACTCTAATTTGCTCTTACATGGAAAGAGAGACCATGTTATGTTTCTTGTCAAAGCAGATTCATCTTTCCATTTGCCTTCGAAGGGAAAACATCTAGTTACCACTTGTTTAGTACTGCAGCCCCAGCCTCCATGTAACACAGCTAGGAAGGGTATGAGTGGAAAATAGCCTGGGAGTGTTCTCCACTCAATTGCAAATCTTGGGAAAGGGGCATCTTTACTTATATGAATGTAAGTGAAGACTAATAAAACACTTCATAGAGCAGCACCAAATTCCAATCACATGCTCTTATTATTGTGATTATCTTCTTTAAATGAAATACATCCCAACTGTGGTTGTGGTTGCTGCAGTAAGAAGATACATAAGCTCGTACACATAAGACCGGGTTAATATATCACCTGTTCTAACAATTTAAAATCATCTGACATGTTCTTTAAAGTATTTATAAGAGTGCATATATTGTTGTGAAAAGCAGCAATTATTTATGGCATTGGTGATAGCTTTGTATTTTAAAATTTTGTATGTGAGACAGTAGTTTATTGCTACTTAGCAGCGAAAAATAATAATACTTAAGGACAGAAAGTTCCATCACTCTTCAAGTTTTCAGCTATTTATTTTGAGTGAGCATTATGATTTTATGATGACTGACAGCATACAGTACTGACAATGTTAACTCAATATTTCTCAGGCTCCAGCTACGTAGTATGGGGCCCTATTTTGATCCTACCTACATCCCAGTGTATCTTGGATTTTTACACAGTCTAAATATAAAAGTGGATCATTTAGTGGCTGGGTTTTTTCGCTCATAAAATTCTACGGCCATCTTAGGAAACATGCCGTATTTTCTTAGATTAAATAATTAAGAAAATATCTGATAGGTGGTAGGAGGATCAAAATAAAAAGGCTTTTTGTTTTTAACACTCAAGTTTCATATTGTCTTTGCTAACTGCACTCATATATTCTGAAAAAGTAGTGCTTATGTTAAAATTGTGCTCAGCAGATCTGAGTTGTGTGACCTATATTTATGCTATAGAGAATCTTGTTTTCACAGATCTTAGTGTTGTCACAAGAATCAGATTTGTGTATAGATGAATTATTCGTAAACAGTTTTGCTAGCATATTAGGTTGCAAGTATTTTTTCTATAGTAGGTATGTCTTTTTCCACTTATTAACCAAGTTTTCAGTTAGTGGAAATGAGCATAACACCACTGACTATTCCAGTGAAGGATCTGGCTCCTTGCATTCATTGCAGGATAAGTTACAATCATTGCAAGGAAACACTCGTTTTCCATATGATTTCTGTTCTCTGGACAGTGATGCAGTGTTCTTCTATCCACCGGCATTGCTTTTCAAAAATGTCAAGACCTTTCAAGACTCTAGTGCCACTCAACAAGTAATAGTGTTTATCACTCTTCATTATTTATTGATAGAATCAGTATCTGGATATATGGTACACCATGGATAGAGAACATTGCAGCAGCTCTTTCTGGTGGCTTTTGTTTGTTACCTACTAGGAGGGGTTTATGTAGATGCTACAACAGCACAGCTGCACCTACACTGTTGTACTGCTGTAATATAGACACTTCAGTAATGAAAGGATTTCCATTGCTGTAGTAAATCCATCCTTGAGAGGTGGTAGCTAGATCAATGGAAGAACCTTGACCTAATATCACAGAGGGTGTAAGATTTTTCACAGCCCTGAGTGATATAGTGAGGTCAACTTAAATTTTAGGTAGATACCAGCCTAAGACGTATACAATACATTACCCACACTTGAAATCTATATTTACATGCTATTTTTGCACAACCCCTAACCAGAAGCTGGTGCATGCTAGTGTACTATTTTGAATCTCTTATGGGTAAAATGCTATGAATCACCTTAATGGTTCTGCAATGTAGAACGTGCTCGTAGGACAAACAAGATACACATGCATAACTTAGATTAGGACCCTTACATTATACAGTGCTGCTGTTATTCTGCACAAAAGGTAATTTTCAGGTAGAATGATGTGTATTATTGTTTATGTCTTGTAACAATTACCTGGGTTAAGTCAAAAGATTTCCTAAGGTAAACTTTTCATTCTAATTCATATGTGCAATTTTGCCTAGAAGAGAAAAACACTGTACCTCTGAATAGCCAAATGATGAAACTATACAAGAATAAGGGTTTTTAATAAAAGGTTCTTTTGCAAATCCTATCTTCCATTTAATTAAAAACAGTCTTCAATCTCTATGCAACTGAAAGTTCCATAAATAAGCTTAAGACATTTAATGATTTTTCCCCTTTTCTGTTTAATTGCAGCACAGAAAATAAAACACTTCAAAAGAACTTTCACTGTAACTAGCTATTGAAAATTTCTTTCAGCTTAACAAATTGTTAGTTTTTTCTTCATAAGATCACAAAAAAATTCAACCAAAATAAGAAAAAAAATTTAAGTTTGGTCCTTCAGTGGTCAGTAACATAAGTGAAATGTTTTTATTTAATGTTATGTCTTTTTATATTTAATAATGTGAATGTTTACAGCACTAAACACACGTATTAGTGTCTATTGCTGGGCAGCGTAATGTTTATTTGCAATACTTGTCTCCTGGTGGTAGACATTAATTCGTTTAGTATTTATAGATGGTTACATTTGCAATTGAGTGATTTAATGCCTGCAGTGATCATGTTAGCAGCCTGGCCTTTGTAATGTACTAAAATGTTGACTTTGCACCATAAGTGCCCTAGGTTTTAGGGGGTTTTGAAGTCTAGTAGTTAGTTCAGAAACAGATTGTAGTGTGGTTTTTGAGGTGAGAGTGAACATATCTTGCATGGGTTATCTGTGCCAATATACTAGCGATAAAAGAGATGTGCAAATACATTTAGAGATTTATGTTTTGGATATATTTATTAATGTGGTTTTTCAGCAGTTGACTGCTTTCAGCCAAGAAATGCTAGTTAGGAGACATAAGCAAATGTATATTCTCTAGATCAGGTCTTTAAATTAAAATTAAATGCAATGGTTCTGGCTTCCTTTGCTGTATAGCAACACTGAACATGTGGTTAAGTAAACTGTACTTTGAAAATATGTAGTTCCTAGAAGCTGTAACTGGGCAAGACTCGTACATTTAGGGTACATCTACACAGCAGCATTATTTTGGAATAACATCCGTTATTCCGAAATAGCATGCGAGCATCTACACAGCTAGCCCATTATTTCAAAATAATTTGGAAATAATGGGCGGCTTATTTCGGCATTAATAAACCTCATTCCATGAAGAATAACACGGCTTCCGAAATGGCTTTTTTGGAATAGCAGTAGAGTGGATGCTTCACTGCTGCTATTTCGAAATAGCTCCTCCCACAGGCCATTCAAAGTAATTACTCCCCCGTGCCTCCTGGAGCTGTAAATCGAAGTAGCACGTCCACATTAGGGGAGCCTGCCTCAAACTAATTTACAGACTCCCCTGGAGTAAAGACATGCTATTTTAAAATAAGCTATTTTGAAGTATTTCTTCTGGAATAGCTTATTCCAAAATAATCGTGCAGTGTAGATGTAGCCTTACAGGCCTTATTGTATCAACAGTTATTACTTAAAATAGCCTGACATGCAAGAGGCAAATGTTGTCTTTAGTTACAAAGGTCTGATTTGATTTATACTGGTGTAATTGAGAGCAAAGTTTAGCCCCAACTGGTCAGGTTTTTATTCTTTTTCTTTTCTAACAAAAATGTTTTTAAGAATATTCAAAAATGAGCTAACCCATCTGATTTAACCCTGCTGCCATAAGAGTCTGGCAAATAAGAAATAAATCTTTAGGTAATATTGTGGCTTATTAAAATAAGGCTTTTTGAACATTATTAGACATTTCCCTAAAAATTCAGTTTTAAAAAGACATAGTTCTAGGTAATCATTAAAACACATATATTAAACAGTAAAGGGACAGACCACTTTAAATGGCACTTGCATGCCTGGAAGTGAATCTCCATACACTTTCATTTTATTTTACTGCTATATCTGTTTACAGTGTATATGTGGAAAAATTATAGCTAGTTAAACAGAGATTAAAAGTTATTGGGAAAATGAGTCAGTAAGAATGAGCAGAAGTTAAACAATTTACCTTAATATCTTAATCGCTGTCTAATTATTTCTGTCTTGACCGTTTACCCTTTGCATTAAGAGGTTCTGAATGGAAGAGAAATTGTGCCATGTCTGTTCTAAGATGGTCTATTGTTTCAAGGCTGGTGAGTTGTCTTTGTAAATCACAAATCTTTAACTCAACCAGAGTCTAAGGAACAAAAAGGAGCTGTAAAAAAGTGCTCTCAGCCACCCTTGTATACACAATGAAATGCTTTGTCATCCTGGCCAGATTAGAGAGCTCTGGCTAAGATTGAGATTAGAGAAGAAATCCCCTGCTTTAAACCTATAAAGCATGTCTTTAATTAAATGTCTATAAAGGTGATGTCCTCACTTCTCTGAGGAAGGACTGAAGAAGACACTAGATAAACTGTCAAACTAGTTGCATTACAGACTAAATTGTGAAGAATTCTAACATTTCCCCCAACTTTTTGTAGTAATAAATATCACAAATAGAGTTCAATCCTTAAAACCTTCTGGCTATTTTGTTGACAGAGGAATTCCTCATCCTTCTCCAGAATGGGTTCAATTCCGTAAAAGGTCCAACGAGCAGGAAGGACACCTGCACAAGATGGTATTCTGTTTATAGTGCTATAGTAAGGCCGGAGCTCTGTTGTCAGTCCATACTCCACAACTTTCCTCTGATGGGGTTTCCAGATGTGTTGCCTAACTGGCATTTGTCTGAACCCAAGGAAAGCACACCATAAAGATTGACTGCTCCCCAACTGTGCATTATATGAACCACATGGCCCTGGAGGCTCTGAACTGGTGGTACCTCCATGGTGTGTGGGACCAGGGAAGCATGTAGGAAAGACTCTATACCCCTATGCCCTTTTGGGGTCTTCTCTTGCACATGTTGCTTTCCTCTATGCTGTGTTGCAGAGGAAAGAATCTGGCTCTCAGTCCTTCCTCTGACAAAACTTCTCTAAAGTAATTTTGCCCAAATAATAACTTTCAGATTGGCCCACAGACTTTAGGTTGTAATGACAACTAGAAATAAAAAATGCCTTCATAAGAGAAAAAATTCTTCCAAATTTCCATGGATTTTAACTTTCAGGAAGAGGTTGATTCATTTGCAGAATAAAGAATAATTATTAATTTGAAATTAAATAAATAAATTCTACCTGAAATAGTAAATAATTCTACCTTATTTTCCCCCACCAAGAAAAGCATTTTCTAGTTTAACTAACTCCATCATAAGCCTAAATTGCTGGGACATTTTAAGTACCTGGAGTGCCTTCAGGAGCAGAGCCCCTTAGCCAGGGGTGAGGAACCTCAGGCCCAGGGGCTGAACGCAGCCATCAAATTGTCTGGATCCGGGCCCTGAGGATCAGTGCCCTCTCCCCGCATTGGGAAGCCTGCTTTGGTGCTCCAGCTTCCCGCTGCCCTACCGTGGGGCTGGAGCACACAAAATCTAGTAGGCTGGGCCCCTAGGCTCTAGTGTGCGAGAGGAATGTAGGGAAGTGACTGCTTCTCAGTCAGTCAATAAGAGTTTGGGGGTTTTTTTGCTACTCACTTGTGTGTGGTCCACAACTGATTTTTTTCTGTGGGTCTGTAGCCCCCGACCCAAAAAAACGTTCCCCAGCCCTGCCCTTAGCTTTCAGTGGTTTCTGTTCACTGATCCGAATCAATGGGAGTGGCAGGAAGTAGCAGCTAGCATGTCCCTTGGTCTGCACTACCTTCCGTAGGTCGCATTGTCTGGGAACAGTGAACAACAGGCTATTGGAGCTGAGAGGCTATGTGCCTGCAGACACCTCAGGTAAACAAAACATCCCAACATTCCAGTGGTTTACGCAGACAAGCTGAGATGAGATATTTGCAAACTGCTGATACAGAGTCGGCTTATGAACTGGTCATTGTGATTTTTTACATTTTTTTTAACTTGGGAGGTTGGCTTACGGATGAAAGGGCTTATGATTGAGTATATAGGTACTTAAAGTTCACTCACCTTCAAAATGCAAATTTTCGATTAATGAAAAAGTAAATGAAAAAAAGATTCCATATTTTCTAAGTGTCATGCTTTTATGGAAGCCACTGAAAAACAAGCAATTAAATTAGTGTAGCTAAACGGATTTTTTTAAAGAAGTTAGAGGTAGACAGGAGGGATGGTTCATAGAAGAAGGTATGTGGAATAAAATGGCTGTTATAAGAAGTCCATGCAATTGACTGTCTTTTTGAAAGTTTTTGGTTGTTGCTGTGTATTAAAGAGCTTATGCTGGATTTTCAAGACTGAGGAAAACACACAAATTACAATATCTGTTCCTGCCAAGACAGTTGAAAAAATTACAGTTCAGAAAAGAGTGGGTATATAAAGGGGAAAAGGTTGTTTGGTGGATTTCAACAATATTATTGTCTGAACATATGTTAATTGGAAAATAATAGTATTTATGATGAAGATTAATTTAATGAAATCTTAAAGGATATTCTCTAATGTAAGTGTGCATGTACATATACTTGTAAAGTATGTGTATTACTGGAGAAATATTCAGAACTAAGCCATGGGTTCCTTTATGAGGAATGCAGTTTATTCATGCAAAATTTGAGCATGAATTTTGCACTCAGAATTACATGTGCAAACCTTGAGCATATAAAACTTTAATACCCCCCCACCCCATTTTTATGAATATTCAGGTAGATAGAGATTTGTGGTTTATGATAAACTGATCTTATCTACATTTGTGGCTGCAACATAATTGTAGAAGCAAAAGGTATACTTTTAAAATATTGGCTCTGTGAAACAATTCACAGACTAGAAAGAATAGTTTTGTCCTAACTGACAGGGTAAGAAGTCTCAGGGGGAGATGTGTTAATCTGTAACTTTAAAAAATGAGAAGCCCTGTGGTATCTTAAGGCATGTCTACACTAGGAAATTATTTTGAAATAACTTATTTTGAAGTAACTATTTCAAAATAAGCATTATTCCATGTGTAAAGCAGGCGCTATTATTTCAAAATAACCAGACCCTTATTTCAAAATAACAGGCTTGATAGTGTGGATGCGCCGCCTGTAATTTCAAAATAAGGGGAGTTATTTTGAAATAACTCCCTAGAGTAGGCCAGGGCTTAGAGACTAACAAAAATATGTAAGATATAGCACTAAAACCAAATATTTTAAAAGTTCCCTCATTTATCTGCCAGCACCTGAGTTCAGGTTTTGCTTGCAAACACTAATACCATCAGAGGTACCTATTGCAAAACTACAAATTAAGGTTCCTACCCTTTAAATTTGATACTATTAGCTCTTTCAAGAGATGCACAAAACTCCGAACCAAAAGTCTTGGCTAGTTAAAACAGACAATTAAGCTCCATTCAGCTACTCTGATGACTACTGCTCAGTATAAGGGCAGAAAAATAACACTATTCCTGATTTTGGAATTTAAACAGATATAGTATCTCTGTTTATTTTCATTAGACAGTTTATAAATCAGTTTATTTTCATTAGACAATACTGTTGTCTAATGATGCAACACATGAAGGGGCAAAGAGTATACACAGTGAGGTTCATATTATGACGAATGAGTGCCAGTGTTCCAAAGAAACACTGCCTCTTAGGCCAGTTTTACACTATGAACTATGGTAAGTTCAAGGAACTTAAAAGTGAGCACCTGAGGCTATGGACAAATCAAATATAACAAATACAAGAAATTAAAAAAGCAAAAGAAAATAGCTTTTTGAGACGATAGCTATTCTTTTTGGCCTTTCTTTTCTCATCATAGGGATAATTCACTGTAAATGAATTAATGGTGAAAAGTTCAGTAAAAGCCTTTAGTAAGGAAACAGGAGCAGTGTATCAGGATATCCTTTTTCCGCACCAGAGTACCCAATACTTTCAATTTTATATACAGCGGAAGTAATTAATTGTAACATAAAGAAGCACAGCTGTGTTTCCTGATGGCCATGGACGCAACAGCTACTATTGTTTAAGGCTGAGAAAGTGTGTTAAAAAGTGTTCAACTGCCTTGAGATTTTTTGTTGTCCTATGAATTTAATTTCTAGTCTAAGCTTTTGAATGTTATGGAATGTTAATACTATTTGCCTAAGGCCAAATTCTGCATCCCTTATTCAGACAAAACTACTTTGAACTTCACTAGGAGTTGTACCTCATTAAGGATTAAAATCTAATCCAGAGGTGCTGAGAACCTGTCTACACTAGGTAAAAGCAATGGAATTTAGAAATACTTCCCATAGGTCAGGATATAGTCCCAAATAAGGAATGCAAGATTGTCTCTTTGTTTTGTGGCTTTTAAACTTATTCAAATTTCATTTCCAAATGTGTGCAGGTACATGTGTTGGATTGAAAGCCTGAGAGAATATTTCTTTACCTTCAATACTTTCTTATTATGCATTTTGAATACACAACATGACCATTGATTGTATTTCTCCTAAAAACTACTTGGCTGACCGCAAGCAGTCATTTGATTTTTTTTAAATGCAGTTGAGCTGTACCATTGTAATATTATAGAATGCATGTTATAGAATGCCTGACTGTAAATGATTTCCCAGCGCTAGAGAAGACGATTTGTGAAGAACTGTAAATCTCTTGGAATATACAAAGGATTTCCATGCACTGTCTACTGTACTTCTACACGCATGAACAAAAAGATCACTTAGGTGCATCTATAACTGTAGTAATACATTTGTGGTTAAGGATATGTTGACAATGACACAGATAAAATAAAATTGAAGTGTGATTCATTACAAATTATGTGCTTCATCTGTACAGGACTCTGATCTGTTTCTTTCCAACAAGCATGCAACAAATTGCACACATCACGTTTACATCATTTCAATCTAGTGAGCCTCTATCTTCTGACATCTTTCTACACCAGGGTAGCTCACCTATTACTCCCATGGTTGTCAGCAAGTGGTTACCCAGAACCAGAGTTTTACAAAGTTTTACTGCGAGAGCAGATGAGGACAAAGGTATTTTAAGCATATACATCATGCTGAGAGTCCACAACTTTTGTAACAACGCTGAAAATTTTTTGTCCCTTGCACTGTAGAAATTAAAACATTTTTAACGCTGGTTCAGAGAGACTTGATACTGACAAACACAATAGGCCACAAGTGAGGCCACAATAGGCTTACTTGGTGTAAAAGAAGAATGAAGGTTTACTACTGGCAGCAACAGTAAATGAGGCATTTATTTGGTTGAAGGCCTCAGTCCTGGTCTACACTAGAGAGTTATTTCAAAATAACTCCCCTTATTTTGAAATAACAAGCGGCGTGCCCACACGACCAAGCCCATTTTTTTTCAAAGTAAGGGCTGGTTACTTCGAAATAATAACTCCTGTTTTCCACGAGGAATAACGCTTATTTCAGAATAGCTATTTTGATATACAGACCATCCGCATTCTAAATCCAAGATAAATTCCAAAAAACTTGGTCTTAGAGTGAAACAACTTAAAGCAGGTAATTTTTTTTTTCCCACAGCTGACTTCCATTTGCACAAATTGGTGAGTTCAGTGGCAAAGAGTTTATTCTTCCTTTAGTTCATACAAAGAATCCACAACAATGCAAGTGCATTTTATTACTGGGGAGAGATCATACTACTAATTTTGTGAATCTGAAACTAACAACAGTTAATAACAGATTAATACTTGAGTGACGCCTTAGTATCAGCTGTGTTCAAAAATGTTTTTTCTTACCTATAAGTCATTTGATGTATGATGTACGTGGTGGTAGAGAACAGAGCCAAACAGGGCCAGATGGTGGCAGGAAGGCATATCCCCTAGCATGGAGCTACACTCACTAAGGGTATTCTACACAGCTAAAGTTGAGTTCAGCTATGTCAATTGTGTAGCCAAAGTTGAAATAACTTAATTCGGCTTTTGGTGCTGTCTACACAGCAGGAAGTTGAAGGAAGAACACTCTTCCTTTGACTTCCCTTACTCTTCGTGAAATGAGGGTTACTATGAGTCTGAGTGAGAAGTCTTCCAGCTCGACATTATTTTGATATAAAGACTTGTAGTATAAACATGCACTGTGTTATTACAGAATAACGTCAGTTATTCCAAAATAACACCACTGTGTAGATGTATCCTAACGGATAGTAATGGGAGATTTTCTGCTACAGGAGGAGGCCAAATGCTCCCACTACTCTTTTCTTTTGTGGGATGCAGCTAATACCACTATATGGCCAGCAAGCTCTGTTAGTGCATATCTGGGTAAAATGCCATGCTTTTGTTTCCTTCCCGTCCCCTTGAGGAAACATTTGCCAATTCCACAGTAATGGAGAGGGAGTAGTTTCTCCATTCTTCTTGTCTTTTAGGCATGGGTCAGGAAGGTTCTGGTCCACAAAAACTAACATACGGGTGAAGTACACATAAAGTCACCTAATAACTAAGGCATGCAAAGGTATCCTTTTTCATCCTTCCTAAGCTAAATATACCATGTTGTTATTACTCTTGACATGTTTGCTCCTAACCTTCTCTACCTGTGTTGCATTTCTAGTCCCACTACAGACTTGTCTTGAAAGAACCTTGGCCAGTGCTGATAGCGTTTCAGTGATTTCTTACTCTATAGATAAGCTTGCTTTTTTATTAGTCATGTTTCAAGAGCAGTAACCTTTGAAAAGCACCTTTACACTTGAATTTCATTCTAGTTTCTTGAATTAATTATACTTCTCCCATAACAATATTTAATCTAATCATTGGTGTTGTAGTGCAATTAATTTATAAATGAGACAGTATGCTTTGAAATAAAATAATACAGGAAAGAAAGATTACTAGCCAGGACCAATTTAAATGTCATTTTTGAGGTAGAATAAAGCCTGAGTGGGATAATATTAAGCTAGACTATGGCGGTGTTTCTGAAACTGTACCGTGGAAACACTTTCAGAAATGCTTTAATTGGCTGCCCTGGTTTGTTTATGTACTGGTGCCCTGGCCACAGAACCTCGCGGCTCCCTTTGGCTCCATTTCGTTCTTTGCAGCCAAGGGGAGCCGTGGAAGCGGTGGCCTGGCCTATGCCGCAGTACACTTTCAGAAACACTGGTCTATGGGGTATTTATTTTAGTTAAAAGATGTTTGCAATGCTGAAGATCAAATAAAATCAAAGTAATAAAATTCTGTTTCAGCTGTACAGGACTCTGATCTTTTTCACTTCAAGCATGAACAAAATTGACACTTAAAAATTTACATCTCTTTGGGATACTAAATCTTCATATTCTTAAACCTTTCTATGCTAGATAAGTTACCAGCTTACTGTGCTTGTTGGCAACAATCACCCTGAACCAGTTTCAAAGTGGCTGGAGTATGTATCAAACTGTATATTCTGGCAGTATGAAGAAGGCTATACAAATATATTCTGATAAAACAATTGACATGTCTCAATATATATTTCTCTTTCTTGAAGATCTTTTCATAGTTAAGATTTTCATGGCCCAAAGCGATTCTAAGAACTAACAAAAAATCCCTGGAGAGGAAATGACAGGCACCTGGATGTGTATCTACTCTAAATTTATTGAAAAACTGAACATTCAGCTCCCTTAATCACATCAGTGTAGCTGTCCATTGAAGTTGGCCCAACTATATTTCAACAGAGGTTCTCACATCCCTTAAGGACCAAGTGTAGGGTGCCCATATGTTTCTGCTTTGGGAGCCTGCCTCAGTAAGCAGTATCTGAGCCATCTATCCAGAGAGCAGGTATGATATGGGCACTAGCAATGCAAACTTCATTCACAATACAACACATGCCTGGGTCCTGACCAGGAGAGACTCTTTTAATGGATGACTATTCCAATGACCGCCCTAAAAGATACAATTTGTGTGGTGTATAAATCTGCCCATCAAGAACTGGATGAAAACCAGATATACATTTCACATGCAGCATCAAACGTGTTCAATGTTAGCAGCTTTTGGTCGTTAGGAACCTATATAGGATTTAATCAATAACCCATTAATGGAAGGCTCAGTACTGTATCACATTATCTTGTAAGATTATTTTAAAGAAGTATTGTTAAACGTGCTCCCTTAAAATTGGATCTAGCAGTTTTGCTTTGGGTCATGAGTATGGATTCCTCTCTATGGTCTGTTTTGTTCTGAGCAGATAGGTAGAGTGGAAGAACAGTATGCCTACTTCAGTGATTTCTGGGTTTCTCTGCATTCTACACTACCCAGTGTAGAAGCTGTGATTTTGCCTGTTCTGTAAGTTGCTATCATTTTGGATGCTGTATTTTTTTTCTGGCACAGGGAAAAAAAGCAAAGATGTTTCTGAAAACCGAATTAAACAAAATTTCGTGTTTCTAATGAGCTTATTTAGTCACCCTTGCACATTTTTAAAAGTGCCCATTTCATTGTGTTCCTGTGAAAAAAAGACTGCAAAGGCATTAGGTTTGAAATGATACCCTCTTCTTTGCTTTCTAGAACACGTCAACATAATACAAGAACTCACTATACCTCTATGATTCAATCCGGGTTTAAAATATACATGAACTGTATTGCAAAGCCTGCACTATTATTTCAGATCCACAGCTAGTAAGTTTCAAGCTGGAGTGCAGAAGATATGTAAATTCTAATACCAAAAAAATGAAAGAGCTAGACAGTGAACACCTCCCCCTGCATGCCAGTGTTTCCCACAAAGAGTTTGTGTGCGGCCATCTGCCGCCCATAAGTGTTTTCACCACACTTTCCAATCAGTTGCTTGCTGGAAAGAGTTTGTCTGGAGAGGCATTCATCTTGCCAGCAGCAAATGTTCTGTCCTAAGAAGCACTCTGTTCAGTTGCAAAGTGAAACTGAATAGGTCGGGGCAATATTAGTTTTCCACTGCAGTAGACTATGCATATAAAGCTTTTGACATAAACAGAAACTAAATACTCCTAATCACCTTTCCTCTGCAGCATTAAGGTGCAAATCCTCTCCCTTCTCTGCATGTGCACAACGCTGTACTCATAGTGGACATGGTGTAGTTCTGGAGTGTGAGGCATAGGATGCTTGGAATCCAGGGGTGCAGTGTGCCTCTACACGTACCATGTGCAACAACATCAAGGCTCCTTCTGAGCTGCTCTACCAAGGGCTGGGAAGCACAGACCGAAGACAAACAGCACCTTGCTAATAATAAGGAAGCTGAGAAACGGGATGCAAAGGATGGCCTTTGGCAGGTTCATCAGTAAGCAAAGCATCTCACTGAAGAGGTGAAAGGGAGGAAAGTTACAATCTCAGTTGGCTTAGTTATTTGGAGAATTATCTAGGCAGCAATAAAAGTTGTTCTCTTCATCCTGTACATGAGGGCTGTGTCTACACTAGCGCAATCTCGCGCAAAAGCGGCCACTCTTGCGTAAAAACTTGCTGCCTGTCTACACTGGCCGCGTGTTCTTGCACAAGTAAACTGACGTTCTAAAGTATAAAATCAGGGCTTCTTGAGCCAGAACTCTGACGCTCCCGCTCAGGAATAAGCCTTCTTGCACAAGAGCTCTCCCAGAAGAGGCCAGTGTAGACAGGCAAAATGAATTTCTTGCGCAAGAAAGCCCTATGGTTAAAATGGCCATCAGAGCTTTCTTGCGCAAGAGAGTATCTACACTGGCATGGATGCTCTTGCGCAAAAGCACATCTCTTGTGCAAAAGCACATGCCAGCGTAGACGCTCTCTTCTGGAAGAGTTTTTGCACAAGAACTCTTCCGCAAAAGAGTTTTTGTGTGAGAACGCGCCAGTAGGTGTAGCCAAAGATTATAATCATATCCTGCTATTTATCTTGTAACCTTTCAAA